TTTTGCATACGGAAAAAGACGATTTTCAGTATCTAGTATACGGAAATATTTACGAATTTATTATACTGTTTTTCTACATTTATTATACGTTTTTTAAATGTATTATTTCCGTATACTTTCCTTATACATATTATTTATAGGGTATACATAAGGTCAAAAATAAGCTTGAGATAAACTGTGTAAATATTGCATTACAAAGTGTGAAGTCTACACATATTTCACAAGACTTAAGTGAGAAGCTAAGAGATACTTCATATGTATTAAAAAAATGAGCTCAAAAAATGTTGTATGATATTCTTAAGTCTAAAGAGAATCTTAATCAATCTTAATGGGTTATGTGAGGAGTTGTTATTATGTTATGATAAACTAAATGAAAAACATCTTTTACATGATTAGTATATGCCTATTCATTTCTGCTTTATTTTTTTTTTCTCTCTTCTAGCTTCTTTTTCATAAAATACTTTTAACTCCTCTTCGTTTTATTTAAACCTTCTGAATTCATTGTATATTATTTAATGTAATATATAGCATTAAAGCTTTAAAAGGAAATTAGCAAACCTTTTTTTAGTATATTAAATGAAAAAATTGTTTCATGCATGAAATCCTTGGTGTATTAAGTAATTCCCGATGTCCAAAAAAAAATCCCGAAAATACAATATTCCGAATGTCATACATAAATCTCGAATATCATAATTTTTAAACGAATTCCATTTCATAAGTTTATTAAATGTGCATTGGTTATTTAATATCTCGAGGTTTATAAATATCAATTTAAAAGATACCACTAACATGGATATGATCTGCGGACGATGTTTTTTGTTGTTTTTTGTGGTAAATTCTAGAATTACGGGTAGTCACACCAAATTACACACAAATATAAAACTGTACAAAATTACTGTGATGTTACCAATAAAAATTCAATTTAATTTTAATAAAATTCTTTGTTACACGATATGATAATAGAATTTTCTTTCACGTAAAGCAAATTATATCGTTAATGCCCAACCACATTTTGTTTTTTTCTTTAAAAAAATAGAACGAATAATTTTGATTTTATGAAATAAATACGCTGATACATTCTATGGATTACTTTGTTAACATGATTTATTCAAAAAAAAAAAAAATAGTGGAATTTAAATCTTTAAACCAATCATATCCAAAATTGTTTTAGTGGTGAAACACTTACAGTAAACAGAATTTCCCAATTATGATTAAAAAGTCTAATTTAATTTTTAGAGCATTTTAACTATTGGTAAGATTTCTATTTGTGAAATTCGTGTCTAGTAAAAAAAAAATAAATTAAAAAAAAAGATGTTACATTAAAAAAAGATCTCTTGGCATTCAACCAAATTTATCAACTTCTTTGTATTTAGCATTACTGCGTCACAATAATTTCAATTTTGTCGGAATTAGGGAAGTGCATGAAATGCATGATAAACAGTTTCACCTTGGAAATCCTATTTTAACCTGTTTGATAGAATTGGAAAAGATAGAAATATATATATATGTGCATATTTGTCGTTATTCCTAAAAAAATTTCTCTCTCGTCAAAATTTTATCTTTTAACAATCTCTTTTTTTTGTTGTTGATTTATTTACTTACAATGCCGCCGAAATTCGATTTGGATGAAATTTTTGGGTAAATATGATTCATCAATAATCACTATTTTAATTATTTTAATATGAATTATACAACCATTTACTAATAAAATAATAATTTTTTTTAATAATGTCCTAAGATACGAAACTTTCAAGATTGTTAAGGTCAAAGAGTATGTATAAAGTAAATTCATTTCTTGAAGATTTATATACATATATATATATATTCCTTGGGTTCTTATTGAATTTTTTTTATTTTTTTTTACTCTTTTGTTTTATAGTCGAAGATTGGGTATACTTCATCGAACATTCCAACTTTGCATCTTTATTTATATTCTGTACAATATCATATTTAAACAATTATATCTAAAAAAGGTGAACAAATCAGAAAATTAGTATTAAAAAAAAAAAGTCGTAGGAAAGTAACTCACGTGATTCATATATAGGAACCTCCGGTACCTGGCGCAGTTAGAATAACATTACAAGCACCAGAGATTTTAACAAATCCACCATATTGTACAGGAGGGGAATTGCCTTGTGCTTACTGGGGATCAAATGAAATACATTATCCAAACGACGCAGCAGGCGTAGCATTTTTTACCACAAGGGCAACTGTAACAAAATATCCTGTACCTGAAAATTGTAATAGTTTCCTTTCGCCAAAATTACCTGATGATCCTTGTATTTTTAATGCTAAGACCGCTCGAAGTCAAACTATAATGGAAAAATCCTACATTGCAGATATTGAAAATTATTCTGTAAGTTTATAAAATATTTGAATAACTTTTTTATGAAATTATTTTATTTATAATTTTTTAAAAAAATAAATAATATAAACAGGTTATGATTGAACATTCTGTTAGAGGAAAAACTACTTCTATTTCACTTCGTAATGGAATGATGGATGGTGAGTTAATTTCTGCTAATGGTATATCGATAAAAAGTTGGACTAACAAAACAAGAGTAAGAATTTATCTTTCGGATTGTATTTTAGCACGTTTGTTATTATTTTCTTGTTTGTTGTTAGCTAATTATTATCCCTACGTAGACTGAATTTACTCCAAATGCCAATGGTGACATTTTATCTGTGAAGGAAATTCTTGACGCAGCAGGTAATTAATTTTTATGTTTTGATATTATTACATTACATTTATTTATTTATATTGCTTTTATTTCTAGGTGTTGATTTAGAAGGTAATAATTAAAATTCAACTCACTTGATATATTGAAGTCTAAAGTTGTGTTAATAAAAAAAATTTGCTTTTTTCAAAAAAAAAAAAAGGTCCATCATTTGCTCCTGCTGCTGTAGGAGAATCAAATAGATCATCCGGTGTTGTTATCGTAATCGTGATAGAATATAAAAATGTTCCATCCAAGGTATATTTTGTTAATCATAGATAAATTATCTATATATTATTTTGTTTTACTTACCAAAAAAAAAAAATCCCTTTATAGGATAATGAGATTAAATATAAATATTTTCCACAAGTTATTAATGGAGCTGAATATAAAGTGACCGAAAGCATCTTTAATAATGATAATTCTTATACGATCAAAGATCGTCATGGGTATGTCCTCTTTTTTTTTTTAAAAAAAAAAAATTTACATGTAACATTTCATTTATTTATTATCATTTGATGATAGGATCCGGTTGGTATTTCAACAATATGGACAAATTGGTGAATTTGATTTTATTTCGTTATTGACGAATTTGGTAGCAGCTCTTGCTTTATTCGTAAGTTCTTTCTTCATTTCTTTTCGCGTATTAAATTTGATCGATTTAATGAATTATTTCACTTTTCTTTTGTTGTACGACAAAACAAAACAGAAAGTTGCAACTTTCCTTGTTGAATTATTAATGTTGAAGTGTTTGCCTCAAAAGGACCAATATGAACACTTTAAATACGAAGAAACTCAAGATTTTAGTGAGATACGTAAAGGTAGTGACAAAGGTTCCATAATTTGAGATATGTAAAGGTACAAATAACAAAGGTTCCATTATTGATGCTTAAAAATTAATTTTTTTTTTCTTTTTGGAATTATTATTGAGTCATATAAGATTGATAATTAGATGGTTGGATTAAAATGGTCATTTATTATTTTTTTTTTTTTTTTATTTATTTCTTCACACTTTTAATTTTTAATTATATATATATATTAAAAAAAAAAAAAAATTTAAATAGCATTATAATTATTTTAATATAGAACAAATTAATAAACATTCGTATTACCAAGAGGAGGGTTACACACTCAATTTCTTTTTGGCATAACTTTACACATAAACCTCAAAAGTGATTATATCTTCAAAAAAACTGACACGTTTAGGTTACTACCTCCACTCCACTGGGTTGTTTGGAATAAAATCTTGGAGGTGCTGTTTAAGTAGAGAAATTGATGCCATACTGAATTTATTTAGTCATAATATAAGAATTGAGAATGGACATAAGAAAAGAGGGCAAAATAATTTCCCAAAATTACATAAATTGTTGTTGTCTTACTTATGGGCAAAGGACGTGGCAGCAAAGGAAACCAATTATTTAATGGCGCAGTATTTTAGGATCGCAAAACATTTAGGTGAAAAGGTTAAAAGTATAGATGAACAAAAAAGTACCTGTTAAAGAATAACAGGCTTCGTGTAAATAAAATAGAATAAATGATTAACGCGAATGACATCATGATTATAATTTATATAATCCTTCCTCAGAGAGAATGCGAAATTCGATTTTCACGAGAATGATATTCGTCGCAAAGTTGGTCATTATAGATCGAAAACCCGTGTGAAATGAGATGATTAAAATGTGATTTCATCAGAGAATAGTTAAACTGCAAGTTAGTATAAAGTAGACCAGCTATTTTGTTTGTTTGTTTAATACATACAAAAATGTTGAATGAGAAAATACAAAAACAGAAAAATAAATACATAAAAAAAAAAATTTTTTTGAATTTTACTGTTTACAAAGAAATGGGTTTGTTGAAAGATATGAAAGATTACAAAATATGTTTTTGATTTGTTACAATAAGTTACAATTTCACTATTATTAATAATAGAAAAATTGATTGCTATAATCTGCGGTTTAAATTTTTTTAAAAAAAAAACGGAAATTATAATGATGACATTGATTTCTTTTTTTTAATCTTTAAAATTGGTCAATCCACTCCAAAAAAAAAAAAAAAACCTATTAATAAAAAATTGTATGTACAAACAAATAATAATAATAAAAAAACTATCCACAAAGGGTAAGAAATCAACTTGCTCCATTAAACTTTAAAATTTGATCCCGGACTTTACTCTTGCCAAATTTTGCCCTTTCATTTAATAAATTTTCCATTTCAGCTTCCTCATGGATAACTTTATCATCATCATTATCATCATCAATAATATTTGGCGGATCGGTTGTATTCATATTTGCTAATAAAGTTCTTTTCCATTTCTCTGCTTCTCCTAAACCTAAACTTGGTCTTCTTCCACTCCTTCTCACCCATGCGGTCGTTGCACTACTTTTATCACCGCTCATTCCATTATGATGTAATACCCAGTTCGATGATCTTGCTGACACATTCAATATCCCTAGGTTTTTTGTACCATATTTATCAATATAATCAAATGTCATGAGAGTTGGTGAATTAACTTCTTTTTTCTTTTGTTCCTTTTTTTCCTTTTCCATCTCCTTTTTCTTCTCCTTCTCCCCTTCTGATGAATCATTCGAAAAATCTAAAGCTAAAGGTATATTCCTTAAACCTGTGGACCTAGAACGCATGCGAAAAGAAGAATTTGAAGAATTTGATGGTGATAAAGTAGTAGTATTTTTTGCATCAATTATGTTTACTGAACGTTGAAGTTTATTATGATTATTTAGTAAACAATCGTCCTCACTAAAAGAATTATCCGTATCTTTACTATTATCATTATTTTGTTGATCCTTCATTGTTTTAAGTAGTGGTGGTGTTGGAGGAGATGTTATAGATGATGATGATGAAAGAGTTGGGGAACCAACTTTAATCGTAGAGATCGTCGTCGTCGTATTATTTATCAAGTAATTTTTTACAGAATCATTTTTATTTTCATCTGAAGGGCAAACTGTTTCCTTATTTACATATAAACCAATGATGGATGATGATGATGATGATGAATAAGATTGATTTGATGAATGACCATTAACGTGTTCTGTGTGATTTAATAAATCTTCAAAACTTTTCGAAAAATCTCCTGAGATATTTGTCTTGTGATATACTTCAGGTGCTTGTCCCTCTTTGGCTTTTTTTTCTTCCTCAAGTGCTTCATTTTCTGTTTTGCATCCAACCCCAAATACTACATCAACATGTTCCGTAAACACTTTAAATAGCAATGAACTTATTCCTAAATTAGGACGAAAAATTAATCCAAGATTACTAGTATTCATTTTATTTATTCCGCAATTTTTATCTACACGAGAAAGGTGTGAAAAAAGGGCCCATAAAAGATAAAAATGATGGGGTGGTAAACAAGAAACGATGCTAGAAAGAGCTTTTGGCAATTCTTCTGGAATCGTTGTTATATATGGTGTATTATGAATCGGGGGAGATCCCGAAGTTATTGTAGGTGAGGGATTCATGTGTTTTACTACACATGCATTAAACTCTGGTAATAAAGCGTCCGTTAATATAGGATCGGGTACTACAATTTAAATGATAGGTATTAATTTTAATAGGTTCAAGAATTGAACCAAAATAGAAAAAAAATATATATATATTTCTTTTGAGGTACACACTTTCTCGCAAATACATCTTCAAAAGTGCTGCAACTGCATGTGGATCTTCGTTTTGTGAAAAATTCAAATCTGAACCTATAATATAAAAACAAACAAGATAAGTTATTTGAGAAATCATAAAACAAGAAAAGTTTCAAATACATACCAGAGTTAAAAATATTTCTCATTCGTGTAACAGTTAACATACTTCCCGGTATTCTAATAATATATTAAATAAATTTAATATTAAATAACTTCCATATTAACAAAATGAAGTAATATGATTACAAATATTTTTAAATCAAAGTACCGATATAAGCCAACTTCCTCTAAACCTAAATAATTAATCAAAATAATGCATATTATATTAGTGTTGTCATGGCAAACACATATCTAAGTTAGAAATCACATTGCTTACCATACTTGTCCAAGAATTCAATACATCTCACCATGATTGCTGGTAACCAGTACCTAAATGGATCATTCTTGATTTGATTGATGTCTTTTTCTATGCGCGTTAATTTGACAGCTATAACAAGCGATTCTCCAAAAATGTTCATGCATGTAATATTGTCAGATTTCGAATTAATGGGAGACATTAATTCATTTGGAGGTTCTGAATAAAATAAAATAAAGAATATTTAATGAAGTTTGCATAAAAGAATATAAGGGTTAAATTTTTTTTTTTTTTTTTAGCAATAATTTTAAACCAACCTTCTTTCCTTTTTTTCCAACGTTCAACAACAACTTCCTTTGCTAAACTTCCTAATTCGAAACCTTTTTTCCCTATTTCGCTACCCATTTCTTGAACTGCGGCAGTCAAGTCTATATCTTTTAAACGTGAAGTTTGTTCACGGGCCATGGAGGCAAGTGTTTGGAGGCGTTGGAAACTTGAGAATGTTGGAGATTGCAAATTTGTAGAAGAGGAGGTTTGTGCTTGTTCTTGTTGCGTCAAATTGGAATCATTAATATCACTTTGATTCAAGGTTGGAGTACTTGAAGCGCCAGTTAAAGTATTAGAAACTCGCCTAAAACGGCGGATGCTTCCTCGAACAGAGTTGAAGCCATTTCCCAAAGTCGTCGAGACTGCAGAATCTGATTCAGGAGAAGATAGAGACTTTGTTTTAAAAGATAGCCTCCGACGAAAAGGCTTTTGTGGCGGGACTTTAGTAATGTTAGTCTCAATTGAAGACATTAAATCTGTGTTATAAGGTCAAGTCCAGAATTTTCTCCATGGGACTAACAAGTTTTAAGGTGATTTTTTTTAAATCGTCATAGTTTCTCCAATCTCATTATAGTCATAATAACAAAGGTTGTAGATGTGTTACTCCTTGTTATTATTCTAAACTGACAATATAAAAAAAAAAAATTACAGTTTTTTTATTGTATCGAAATCACGTGCATTAGGTTAGTGTCTTATGATTCGTACTGCACATTGACATCACAAGGACTAATTTGATTTTTAATTTAACAAATGTAAAAATAATTTTTGTTTTTAAAGAATGACAATATAGGATAATATTAAAAGCTAAGTAACAATACATTACACGAATGTTACTAGGTATTAAACTTTTACATAATTGTGACTAGATTTATAATAAGCAAACCTTTAGCATACATTTATTCTTTATTTAAAATCCATTTTAATAAAATGAAGTAAAAAATTAGTTTTTATATGTATATATATATATTTTTAAAAAAAATGAATTAGTATTCTTTTTTATTTTTAACTTTTTAATTTTTTTTGGATAATCTACAATAATTTATTTTTAAGATTATAAAACACTTTTATTTATTCTTTTTTTGATTTTATAATTTTATCTATACTTTCAATACTAAATTTTTTAAATAATTATAAAATATAGATACTTTAAATAAAAAGAAAACTTTATAAAGATAATTCTTTTAATCTATAATCTTTAATTTGAAAATTATATTATTATTAGATATATTAATGAAATAAGAAAATTGTATATAGGTATTTTAATTTTATTATATTATATATAATATAATATGAAATGCTTTAAAAAAATATAAATACAAATCATTTATTTAAATAAAATATTTAATGCATTAAAATTTTAAGTAGTTAGTGTCAATGACCTGATTGAACCCTTGATAAGTAAGTAAACAATTCAAACGATGCAGGGACTCGCCTAAGGATCCACATTTTCAATTATCTAACCTTTTTATTGATAATGAATTGATCTTTTGATAAATGCAGACCTAACCGATTTTCATTACTTGACTTAGAGAAAGGGTTAGACCTAGAAAATTTAGAGATCGGGTTGATAAATCAGTTTTAAAATGATTTTTTTATACATTGAAATCTATAAATTATCTATATCAAAGAATAAGGTGTATATTCAATACAATTGTACTTGAGAGATATTTTTTTTGAGGTATTTTATCCCTCAGAACGAGCAAATGCAATGGGATTCACATTACTGATTTAAATCAATTACATATAATATAGTCACGTTAAAAATTATGAATACGGAGAATTTCTAGTAAAAATATACTAATCCTTATTTGTAAATTTGTAAATTTTCAAATACTAAAAACTTCATCTACTTGTATAACGTTAACTTTACCAATTTTTTTGATGATAATCTTTTGTATCTCCTAATGATGTGTATTATTTGGTCCGAGTGAGAACCAACTACGCCAAAGAGTGAATCCGATAAATCAGAATCGTTTAACGGTTGAAGAAGTGGCAGTAATCAATGAAATGTGAATTTAATCATTTTTGAACATACGTTCTCCTTTAATATGCCTCGTTGAAATAATACAATTCGTTCCATTCAAAGACCAATATTGGGTTTAAATGACAAATCTCTACATTTTAACATCCGGGTTCAATTTTTTATAACTCGTTAAAGAGGGATGACGTCATTAACATTTTTGGGCTGCGATAAATTTTTATTTGGCAGTAAGGGAAAAAAATGGTTATATGTATATTATAACATACTTATCCGGATTATGGTCATTTTTTTTTTAAAAAAGCCAAATATATTGGAAAGATGAAATAATTAAAAAGCTTTTTTTTGATACCATAAATCCGTTAAAGTTGAAAAAAAAAAGACTTTTAGACGACTCGGTTAATTTATGTTTCCTCAACTTCATATTTTGCTCGGGTTATTTCACATTTTTGTTGTGTTTAAGAATCTTATTGCGGTATAGTACCATCCTAATTAATGATTTGTAATTTTGGGAACCATGAGATTTGGTGATTCTTACGAATAATCATAATAATATTCGTCAAATATTTCGATAGAGTGTAATATAAAGTACGTATTCTGCAATAATATTTCATCCCGAATTCTAAGATGCAAATGTCGGGTTGGATTGTAAAGACATGCAAGTCAATCTAATGTTCCTTCCTCGATTTGCGAATTTATTTAGGAATAAAGATATCAAGTAAAGTTAGGCATTTTATTTTTATTTCGTCAATAAATTTTACATATAGTCACGTGAGCTGCTAAACGAGAAAACGTTCAAAAAAATACAGTAGATTGGTTGACTGTTTCTTGTAATCATGATGGTGAACTATTCGCAATCACATCTTTTCACTCATAATAGCGATTTTCGTGGAGAATCTTATAATCTTTGTCATAATATGGTATTGACTCCAATTCGCAATGATATTCTTCCCGTTATCTAAACAAGTCTATGATAATGAAGCACAATTGGAGAGATCAAAACCTGCCTGACTGAAAATTTAATAAGTTAATTGAAAACATGTTTTCTAACGAAAGGATCACCGGAAAGAAAATGAATGGACAATATGTTAACTTTACTATGAACTTGCCCATTTGAATGGTTGATTTCAGTTTCCACGGTTAAATGCTTTTTTTAATTTATTTAGTGAGCTCACTCTCACTTTACCGCCAGAGTAAATCATATGACATCAAATAATATCAGGATGCAAATCATGATTTGTTATATCAAGAATTTTTCAGCCACATTATAATTTTAAATTTGAAACAAATTGGACAATGACAAACCGAGTTCCCGAAGAAGAACTTTCTATACTTGAAGCTCTTATCAACATAAGGAATCGCCTTCATGCATTAAAAAAAGATCGTCAAACTTATTTCAGGTCTTCGACGGTTACTGAGATCTATGACGAGGTATAACTTTTAAGGTGTATTAATATTATAAATAAAATAACTTGGTAAGTCGAATTAGGACAGCATTAACACACGAATTATTATTATTATTTTTTTTAAACTTTAGGTTACGGAACACGTGAAAAAGTTGAATGAAATTCGCGAACTGGCCACAGAAAGTCCAACATCAGATAACCGCGTTAATGCTGTTCTTGATGATGTATTTCAGTTGCTTTCGTTATTCTTTATGGCGATAGGTAAAAATAAAGAAAGTCCTGCTACTTATGCACAACTTGCCACTTTTAAGGTAAATTTATTTGCTTTTAATACATTTAACGGATTCATAAGAGAGAAAGAAACATTATTGAAGGCATTATTATCTCGTAGCAATGTTTGGATCACATAAACGAGTCTGGTGTTTACACAGTAGGTGAGAAGTCGCGTGTCTTAGTAATTTCTTTTTTATAATATTACCTTTTACTGATTCATGTCAAAATTTTAGATGAATTGATCCCATATCAGAATCGACTGATAGATATGAGTAAAATTATAAATAATGACGAGGAAAATAATGCAATAGCAGAGCCACATTTGAAATTACTGAAAAAGAAGTTAAAATCCTGTGGTATTTATAAATATTACTTTAAATGATCCTTAATTCATATTCTTACATTTAAAATTGACTAATTTAGAGACCGTACTGGGTCAATTATTGGAATCCGGTTCAAATCTAAGTGAGGAATTAACACCAGTACATCATCGTTTAGTAGAAATAAAAAGAGAATTAGGTGCAATAGGGTCACGTAGTAATCCTGACAACACGCCATCATTTCAAAATTCAGATGTTCGACCTTATCAAGATGAATTAAGAAGCATTGATAGTAAAAGAGTTGACGGGAGTTTTTTGGCACCAGATGGTTCTATACCATCAGGTCAGGCTCAAGTTATTGGATTGTTAGAGGAATGTTATGAATGTGCTCATGATCTAATTGCCAGTCAGGATGATGTCGCAGGAACTTTAAAACCTATTTATCATAGATTGATTGAATTAAAATCTTTACTTGAACGGTTGACATTAACGCATCGGTGGACTTCGCGTGAAACTGATATGTGGGCCTATCAACTTCAATTAAATGAAATTGATAATATGAGGAAAGACGGAAAATTTTATGATAATGAAGGAAATGTTCCTGAAGGACAAACAGTACGTGTTCATATGAAAAATTTTTCTAATTTATTTCATGTTACGCGTGCATTTTTAATATATTAATATCCAATTTAATTATTTAGGTACTCCTTCATTTGTTACGCAAATGTTATCGATTAATATATAAGATTTTAAGTTCTAGTGAACCTATTGCTGAACCGTTAATGCCTATTCACAATCAACTTATTACTGTGCGAAGATTTTTAATTGAAGTTAAAAAATTTGGTGGTCCTTTTACATGTATGTAACCTACTCTTTATCTTACATAGATAAATTGCAAATTTCCTATATTAATTAATTTCTAATTGTTTCATACTTTACTAGCAAGGGAATTATACCCATATCAAATGAAACTCGCATCTATTGATAATATGCGCGTAGATGGCAAATTCTTGGATGAAGATGGATCAATACCCGAAGGTCAGGGTATCGTTATGGCATTATTAAATGAATGTTATGATATTTTATATGAATTAAAAGCAGATGTTGTAGATGATAATTAACTTACTTTACTTATTATTATTTATCCCCATAAGATTTTATATTTAGTTATTTGATAATTTCTCTTCCAACTTTTGAAATTATTTTTTGATTGATTAGATATCACCAAAAGTATAATTATAACCATTTGTCGTTCAAGATCAATGAAATTGTTTAAAAATCATGTATGTATAATAAAATGAATATAATTTAAATAATAATTATATGAAAGAATTGGATAAGAAAAAAAAATATATAAAATAATAAAATAATAAAAAAAAAGTAATTTATTATTATTCACTTTTTGTTTATTGTCACCACATATTTATGTGATAAATTAACGCGTTTTATTACTCTACCTTTACATTAGTATTATCATATGATAATATTAGTTAAATGAGAACATACAGTAACAGATTAGTTAAAAAATATTGTATATAGAAAAAATATGTTATGTCTTGTATATATATAAATAAAAAAAGAATTTAAAAAAATTCAAAAAATTCACTAGGTAAAGATTTATTTGTTTTAAGGCTTGAGAAATCAACTTTTTCTAATTTTTATTTTTAAATTATTCAAAAAAACGTGGATCAAAGTTATGTTCGTAATATAGGGCACAATTAAACAGTAAAATTGGGAAAACTTCATATTATCATTTTGAACAATGAGAAAAAATCATGAGCGCAAGAAAAAACAATTCTAATGATGATGAAAAAGCTTGATTATTTTTCCCAATATAAAAAAAGACCTTTACTTTCGTCGTAACTCTTAATTTATACATGTTACTAAAAAGTAAAAATTCTGTAGTGATACATCAAATAATATATTTTTTTAAGGTTGGATTGTGTACATGAATGTCAAAAAGTGAAGGCTAAATATGCGCCACATTGATATTCAGGGCTCTGTCTTTGCATAATTGTTTGGATTGTGCATATAATAATATGTTCCAATACATTGCAGTAGTTGAACCGATTCTGCATCACACGTGTTCTTGGTTTCTTTGTTTTTGAAGTTTACATAAATGCAAGTTTGGCTTATTGACAGGTAAAATAATTGGCATATTTGATCCAATTAAATCATATAAACTGAAATGCTTCTATTTTATTAAATGCTAGTAAGATGATTTTACATTAATTAAAAACTTTAATAATAAAATTAGCAAAAGTTAGATGTGATACTATATTAAATTATTCCGTCCTTTTTTCTTGCTTCCTCGGTGTCTAAATATATCTTGAATCAAATTTTTCGAAGTGAATTATAATGAGCTCCTAATCCATACATATGTCGATGGTATCTAAAAAAAAATAGACATCAAGGACGCTAAGTTATCAACTTAATAAAAAAATGAAAATTAATTAAACCAAAGGATACGATATTACAATCGGTTCTTTGTTTAGGAATTCATCATCAGAAATTTTCATCAATGGTGAATTCATTTGAATTACATGAACCGGTAATTTAAAAGCTTTCGAAATCGCAATAATCTAATTTTTTTTTTTTTTAGTAAAAAATCATCCGAGGTTTATGCTTACAAAAAAAATCAACTGCATACTTCTAATTGTCCACCCCAAACGGCTGTATTCTCCAATTCATCACAATATTTACTAAATTGTTCTAATAAAAAGGTAAAAATTAAGTTTTTAATAAGAGATATTAATTATACGCGAATTAAAACAATCCTTTCTCAATAAAACTTGTTTGCTGACCCGGACTACATTTTCCATCGTCTTTGGTCGGTAAAAACGGAATAAAATCGTCAGGGTTTTCACGCATATATGCCGCTGTTTTACGCCTTAGTTCTTTATAATCAGTCTACCTTAGTGGAAAAAAAGAGGGTAATCAATAGGTATATACACGAGCAAATTATAGTAAAAATTCTTTACGTACCACAATATTATGTTTAATTTGCAATTGGTCTGACATAGCATTATAAAGACTGTATTAAATTCAGAAAACCAAGGAAAAAAAAGTTTAAAATAGGAATAAAAAAATTTAGTAACTATATCCGATATTGAAAAGCTAAAGAAAACTTGCCAATGACCATCAGGCATGATCTAACAGTCATTAAAATTTGAGATATAAAAATGTTATTGACTCATTCACTGGAAATATATAGATTTTTTATGCAAAAAACGTTACCTCTTTAATAGATAATCCCATCATGGTAACGATGTCTATGATTTTCTCGCGCTCGACTTCTTTCATATTAGGTTGATTTTTTGCTTCATTTTCAGCTTCGCGTTGTAATTCAGCCATCTCGGCTGCTTTACGTGCCTTAAATAATAATGATTTTGCATTTCTCAATTAAAATAAAAAAAATCCCCATTATGTTTAAGATTCATAAATACCTTTCTTAATTTTTGTCGATTTGGTTTTTTGCTTTTTGGGATTTTATTTGAAGGCTCCGAAATTTTTAAAGCAGCATTTTTTTCCTCTTCGACGCGTTTTGCTTCAATCCTAGCCAGTAATTTATCAGCAATATCTTCATTATCATCGCTAATATCCTCATTCTCATTCTGAATCGGTAAACGAAAGATTTGAGCCTCTAACGTACCTATTTGAGTTACGTGTTATAATAACTTTATAGTTTCAAACCTTAGTCTCCTCAATTGAGGCTTTTTCGGAAGATTCACTAAGTTTAGTTTGTTGTTGAGTCTGTTTCATTTCTCGTGATCAAGAATATTACGAAACAAACAAAAAATTTTGATTATTAAAAATAATTATAAAACTAGCTAGGGACGATGATCGCTTGCAATTTGGAATTTAGATCACACAATGCTTAGGTAATATTTATTTTGATTCTATTGAATCGAATATAAAAAAAAATTTTAATTTAAATATTGTCACGATTTATTAGCATTTATTATTATTATTATTTTATTATTATTTTATTATTAGCATTATTTTTAGTATAAGAAATTCAATTAGCGATATGTGTTCGCCAAATGATTATGACTGGCAAATGACTCAAATGACAAATGACAAATAACCTGACATTTCAATAATTTTTAAATATAGCATATTTTATAATTTTTTATTATTTATTTTGTTTATTATAGTGTAAATAAGTTAAATTTATTAAAATATTTAATTATATATATTAAAAAAAATTATTTCATATTGGGCAAATATTTTATATAGTATATAATAGTATATTAAATTATATTCAAGATCCAAACAAGTCGACTCAAATTATGAGTCAGACAAGTCTAGTAAAGTTAAGTCAAGTATTAAACTCGAGCTAAAAATTGAACAATTTTTTAGTTTCATTCAAAAGAACAATTTTTTTATCGTTCTGATAGAACGATAGAAGAATCGATCTAAAGGAATGATTAAAAGCATCATTTCGAAAGAACGATAGAAGAATCATTCCAATAGAATGATAGAAGAATCATTTTAAAGGAATGATTAAAAAGTATCATTCCAATAGAACAATAGAAAAATCATTCTAAAGGAACGATTTTTTTTATCGTTCCAATAAAACAATGTAGTATCATGCTTAAGAAATGATTTTTTTGTATTGTTTCTTTAGAACGATCTTTATCATCCTATTGGAACGATTTTTTGTATCATTCCTTTAGAATGATGTAGTATCGTTCTATTGAAATGATTTTTTTATTGTTTTTTTAGAATGACCTTTTATTGTTCTTAAGGAATGATTTTTTTATCGTTCTGATAGAACGATGATTTATAATTCTATTGGGATGATTTTTTTGTATCATTCCTTTAAAATGATCTTTATCATCCTATTGAAACGATTTTTTGTATCGTTCCTTTAGAATGATCTTTTATTGTTCTTAAGGAATGATTTTTTTCATTATTTCGATAGAACAATGTAGTATTATTCTTAAGAAATAATTTTTTGTATTGTTCCTTTAGAACGATCTTTTATCATTCTTGAAGAATGATGCTTTTAATCGTTCCTTTAGAACGATTCTTCTATTATTCTACTGGAACAATCCTTCTATCATCCTTTGGAATGATTCTTTATCATTGGAAGATAAAATTGCGAAACTCGCTAAGAATTTGCGATTCTTTAAGAGTATTGCTAAATTTTTTGTAAATTAAATGACTAAATGACAAATGATTTAAATGATCTTAAATGATCTTGATCATTATCATTTGTCATTTAGATCATTTGCAAAATAACAAATGCTAAATGATTTATAATTATGACAAAGAAATAGACAATCATTTAAATGGTCAAATGATCAGATTATTTCCGAACACTGGTTCTAATAGCATTAAGTTAGTACTATGAAAATTATCACTGGCCATAACTGTTTCGTCGTCTGAATTGTCCACTGGTTCTGTCTCCTGAATGAAAATATCTGTTATTATATAATCAGCAGAATTTTCTTTTAATAACAGATAAAAATATGTTCAACTTCACGATTTGCAATAATAAAATCTTTGATATTCACCCTTTAAAATATAATATTCCTGATTATATAGAACTGACGTTATAGGCAATACTTTATCTATGTTACATTAGATTAGAATTTTGATTATTATTAAATAAATACATTAATACATCAAACTCAAATCCTTCTGCTTACCTTTAAACTCCGATTATAACCCATAAACACCAATTAAAGATTTTTTTATTTCATTTTGAATTATATAATTTTTTTGAATGTTACTTTTCATTTTCAAAATGTGAACTAATACTTTTATAATATAGTTTTTAAATATTACATAAATTGACTTTAATAGTAGGAATATAAACTGTTTGTTTGCCTAGTTATATATATTTTTTCATTTGATAATTTTTAAATATAATAAACTCAATCAATATATTGATACTTTACAGTAGAAAGAAAAGAAACTCTAAAAATATTTTTTAATGTTAAAACTGGACTTATTTTAACAAAAAAAAATCTTATTTAGCTTATAAGTAAAATTTTAATTTTTTATGGTTTCTTTCCTTCTTATTACAAAGCTTTTATATAGTATTTTTAGGTAATGTATTAAGATCTAAATATTAAAAGTTATATATTATTCCTTAAATAATTAATATAAAATTATAAATAATTAAGATATTTTGATATCTAAAGATCATAAAAAGATGAAATTTAACTTATTAGATTCATCTAATTATAACATATCTAATGAAATTATAATTATATTTATAATATCAATAAATCAAAATTTATATTATTTTAAAATATTTTAAATCTTTAAAAATAATTTTTTGTCAAATAAATATAATTTATTGGTTCTTTTTATAAAAAAGTATTAAATAGTGGTATTTTTATATTTTTAAGATTAATAGATAATAAGATATTCTAATTTAAATAATTAGATTATTTTATAATAATTTATTACTTATTTATTCTTAAAAAAATTTTTTTTTTTTAATTTTACCTAGAAAATATAATAAAAATTATTATAAAATTTAAAATTATTATTATATTAATAAAATATTTTAAAAATGATTTTAATTAAAAAGTAAAATTGCTTTTAAATTTAAAAGCAAACTATTAAAGGGATTATAATATTAAGATATTTTATCAATTCTTCTATTCTTTTAAATAGCTTTTTATATTTACTTAAATTTTAGAATTATTAAAGATTAAAAAAAAATAATCAATAAAAATTAAATTGATTCATAATATTAAAAAGATTTTAATTCTATAAAAAAAAAGCTAAAATTATTAATTCATCTTTTATAAATATTAAAATAAAATAATATAGTATTGTAATCTAAATGATCTTCAAAAATTGGAAATGTGGCACAGTAAAAGTGATCATTATGTGAATTGATCTACAAAATCAATGACCCAATAATCTTCTAAGGTGATCTGCAGAATTAACCAGATCAGTTAATAAAGAAATGAAGTAATAGATCATTAGCCTATGATGATACGCATAACCTTCTAAACTAGAAACTCCAAATAGGAACTTCAAGGAGAA